GTGCAGGAAAGTCGAGACAGCTTTAAATACAACAATTCGAGTGATCGCCCTCACGCGTGCGAGCCTGTGGACAGGAGGAAATTCCGAAGGATGCAGAAGCATTCCAAGACTCTAATTATCTTCATCGCTTCCAGAAGTGACAACAATCACAGGGAGTCGTGATCCTCGGAATCGTCTTCTTCTCTGGATTCGGTCAGTCTCCACGCACGACCCAGGCATACCAAGGCATGGCGTTGGATGGTATCTTAGGCGGGCCTTCGCCCACGAGGCTATACAAAGGGCACGTCATGCGGTTCTTCCCTCAGCCTGTCCCCAACGCGCGATTCTGGTTACATTGGCAGGGATGCGTGCCGAAGGACCCTCTTCCCACTGCGGTCTCTCGCTCCTACGGGATCAGCCCAAGATCATGACCCCGACCTTCTCCAGCTTTGTAACACGAGATGCATGCGACGTCCACAAGTAAGAACAGTTACATGCATCCAGAAACCCAAGAGAACAGGTGACCAACTCGTGAGCATCCGCAGAATTATGGGGTCGATAGTCAACTCTGATTCGTAGACACGGAGTAAACCTGTGGATTCACGAACAGATTACACTCATCTCTGCAACTCTTCATCCCTGCCACGCAAATTTGGAAGATGGCTTCTAACTGCTCCAGTCTCACTGCGAGTCCTCGTTGTATTCCTTCTACGGACACACTGCAGGATGGGTGTCCAGAATGGCTCAGAACTCAGGCTCCAGCAAGCACCAGCAAGATGGTCAACGAAAGGATACACGTGCCTTGGCGAGTGTTTTCGTGCTTTCATTGCAAGATGAAGCTTGTCGGATTGTAGCATACAGTCACGCTTCGCAGCCAGCGTAGTGCAACCAGAGAACACCAGCAGCAACACGCCGGGCTTATTCTCCGCTGGGGAACCTCGTTGCAGCAAGCGCAGCTGCCACGACAGACAGACTTTTTCGCCATGGCCTCGGTGATTGTATAGGCACCGCCAGCAACCTGCATGTACTTCTCTACCTGGCAGTTCACACCCCTTTCAAGCGACTTAAGTGGGTACCGCAACAGGCCACCCTGCTGTGCCTTTTGATAGTTGCCTCTGCCCTCTCCAACATATGTCCTGAGACAAAATCTAGCTTCCAACTTTGTTTGTCGCAACCTCTGATGCGCAAACTACTAGGAGTTGGACCAGTGCTTCTGCATTTCACCTGTGTCTTCCATACAAGCGGCTCCTGGGTTTGGGATGTGATCATGTCGCAGAATACGTTTGATACAAGAATCTCTCAGGCCCCTTCCACACTCGCCCCCATCATCAACGCAGCCTTTTGGAGCAGCAGTGTCTGAAGCTGAGTAGCCAAGGAGCACAAGAGATAAGCGCAGGGCCAGTGAATGAGACATCCCTGAATCCAGCACTTCACAATACTTCACACACACATACACACACCCACACACATGGCACTGACAGCGCAGCCCATCCTGGACATAGTGCCAGGGTCTGCTCAACCTTCGGGAGACAAGTCTCACGGTTCATGATCACGGGCACAATCGTTTCAGCTGGCCTGCGGCACCAAACTCCTGTCTGGATCCCTGTGAGCCGATGAATTTCAGGTATAAAGATTGTGCAACACCTGGCTTTGTCAACAGCATGAAGCTTCGCTTTTCTGCTGAGCTTGCTTGCGAGGCAATCACAACACCTTTTTTTGTGTCTCAAGTGCAAGTGAGCAGTTGGTCCGGCGCAGGGCTTCTGCAGGCCGCCTTGGTCTACAATTAAATGAAGGGTATATAGGGATAATGGAAATGAGAATGGAAACTTCTGTATGGACAAATTGTATTATAGGGATTCTATAGGGGATATATGGGATATATCGAAAACTGTTTGGATGCAGGGATGACTAGAAGCACGTCCAAGAAAGTCTGAGCCCAGGGGTGCATAGAGATTATGCGGCTATGCGGGCTCCTTGTTAGGGGTTCTAAGTTATATGGGAATCAGATAAATTCTGAAGTACAGGTAATCCTGAGTCTGCCCCCTAAACCTAAACCCTAAACCCTTAAACCCTGAATCCTAGACCCCAAACCCTAAACCGTGGCTGAGCTGGCAGCCCAGAGGAAGTTGCATGCGGCCTGCTTCCGAAATGGACGCCGCCGCCACTGACCTTTAGCGCTCAGGCCGCCGACTTCGGGGGGGAGGGTTTAGGGTTCAGGGTTTAGGGTTTAAGGTGTCTCAGTGAGGGGGTGCGCTGGTGCTGGAGGCACCCAGGCGCGCACCTCACCACCGCTGGCGCTCCACCCTCGCCTTGACCTTCACGGGTTTAGGGTTCTCTGGAACTCTGATCGCGTTCCTGCCTCCTTTTTATTTTCACCCGTCTATTTCGAGATGGTGCCTTGCCTGGAGGCTTTCAAGCCTTGAGCCAGTTGGACATGTCCAGACTGTACGGGTGCAAGGTTTGGGTTTGGGTCTGGCTCGAGGCCTTTAGTTTTCTTCAGGTGGAGGGGTCTAGCCGGACACCTCCATTGCTGAACTAGTGACCCTGTCTAGGCCAGGCGGGCAAGGTTTGGGCTGGGTCTGGTGCGAGGCCATTTTTCTGGTTGCGAGATGAAGCTTTGGTCAAGCCTTCAACCGCTTAGGCCTGTTTAGAGCAGGCGGGTGCAGGGTTTGGATTTGCGTCTGCCTGTAGTTGCTGCAGATCAACCCTTGAATCATTTAATGGCCTGTCCAGACCGGCGGGTACAAGGTTTGGGTCTGGCTCGAGGCCTCTAGTTCTCTTCAGCCAGCCTGGCAGAGAAAATAAGGTTCTGGGACGATGACAACTCATTGAGCTCTGAGGTTTGAGAGATGCCCTGAGAGGCTGCATGAGGCCTGAGGGCTTCAGAAAGGTTTAGGGTCTTGGAGGCCCTGAAAGAGGCAACTGGGAGGCTTGTGGAAGCCTTGGGGGGCTTTGGCAATGCCTGGAAGCTTTGAGAGATCTTGAGTCCTGGAAGGAGGTTGCCTGGAAGCCGATCGAACCCTGCCCGGAGAGACCCGGGAAGCACTGAAAGCCCCAGGCCTTTTGCAGTTTTAGACGGCTTCAGGCCTCGTGGGATCCCGAGATTTGCTGGCAGAGAACGCTTGAGGGGGGCTTGGGAGGCTCACCTGAAAAGCTCAAAAAAGAGGGACGCAGCGGTGCGTAAGGCAACCTCATGGGTTACTCGCCAGCGGCCTGCCGGGCCTACCGCGCAGCCCACAGCTGCCTGTTGGACTGGGAGCTCTGTCGCCCGCCGGAGGGCTT